CAGGGTCAAAGTCATCGTCCGGTTCATGATAATGAATTTCAGTGTCTCCAAATGTGTTCAGTTCCAGATCCAGTCCCTCGAAAACTATTAACTTCTGTAACAAATCACTTGCCTCATTCCGTACATGGGTCATGCTTATTGTTGTTGGTTCCAACGCTCATCAGCCATCGCAGATATCAATATACCTGCATGTTAATTCATACATCTGAGGGTCCAGCTACCTCTTCATACTCTCCTTGTCTTGGCATACTGGTCCTCGGTGTGCTGGTCATAGATCCTGAATCCTGGTTCCGAGGTCTGGTCACTAGTTGATCATACCGCAGGAACGCGATGTCTCCCCTCCCCCTGGTCTCCCTTAACTTCGGCATCAACTCCCTTCTTCTCTTCCTCACAAAGTCGGTATAATCTTCATTTATGTAAATGTTAGCACCTTTGAGCTTCTTCGCTTGTTGCAATATTTGTGCCTTATCTTTCTCTTTCATCAACTTCACCAAAACCGCCCTCGGACCACGATCCGTAGGTTTTCCGATTCTGTGAGCCCGCTCCATCTCAATCTCTTGTTGAATTTGCAGATTATTTTTCAGAATCTCCTTCACTTTACCTTCTGCCTCCGACCAGCTTTCTCCAGTTGTCTCCATGATTCCCTCAAAGATCAGGTTTTTTCGCTTGGAGCTTTAATCACATCCACCTCTCGCTGGGTAAACTGCAAACTCGTTTTTATCTCCTGTATTTCTCTGGTCATGTCGTCGAGTCTCTTGTTGTTTGTTTCCATAATTAGTTGCACGAAGCCTTTGAAGTTTTCCTGCTGTTGGTTCATCAGCGCGATGTACATCTGCTTCTGCTGATCCACAATGTCCATTACTTGCACCGGTCTGTGATACATTTCTTCTGCCTCCATATCCTCAGTCGCTTCTGATTTATTAGATCTTTTCCCTCTTGGAGGCATTTTAATAGTTGTAGAATTTGTTCAAAGACTTGAAAATGTAGAAGATGTGAAAAATCGTAGAACAGACAGAGATCAGTATCATAAAATATGGAATTCTCTATGTATGTAGTTAAAATTGCATTACTGTATATTTTGTATAAGGTAACCCTGGCCCCTTTCAGTCAAATGTGATTATACCATAGCCACTGAAAATTCTAGATTCTGTTTGTGGATTCACCTTTCATCCATGATGCTATGTCCTTGTTAAATGATGTGGTACTAAAAATAAACAACCTGGACTGACATGAATTGACTTCATATGCAATAATCTGACCTTGTGTGTGTGTGTGTGTGTGTGTGTGTGTGTGCGTGCATGCGTGTGTGTGCAGTCTATGCATAATTTCCATATGACACAATGTGCCAAGACTCAGATCTCAGATTAGTTCCACTTGTGCCGACCCAAAGCTGCTTCTGATCTGCATAACATTATGATAATATCACACTGAAATATTTTTAGGAATAAACAGCAGCAGCATTGACATGGATGGAATGGGAATTTCGGTATTTGGTGCTGAATCTGATACGCTTTTGTTCAGTCCAGGGATCTGGGGGGCTTATATGGTAATCGGATTGGTAGGCTACACATGCTAGTGTTTAGTCCTGCTTTATTGTATGGGTGAAGAGAAGTCCAGTGTTAAAAGAGCCATCTGACAAAACCTAGCAGGAAACTGAGAAAAAAATGCAGAGAAATTGCCAAGAAATGATTGAATGAAGGAAGAGAAAACCAGACAAGAGCTGGTAGAGGAGATAGGGAGAAGTGTACTTGAGAAAAGGACAATGAGTATCACTGCTGGGAAGAGTGGGAGATAAATGTGCAGACAGAACTAGTTGTAGCACTCGCAAATCAGCTAGTCTGTGCATTTCTGTAACTGGGTCTGCATGTCTGGCTAACTCACTACATAACTTACAGTAGGAATCTAGTGTTTTTTCCAAAGCACAAGACCATTTCATTAGTTAAAGGTTTACATGTTACATAAGACTAACTCTATCCATGAAGGCCAACATTAGCAACTCTGTCCTGTAATGGATTTGGAAAAGGTAACGCTTTAGCAACCTCAGCCAACATTAACCAGGATATCAGTGCATTTGCCAAACACAAATCGGCAGTGTTGGAAAGTACCTAATTACATGTAAATTGTTACTGAAATTAAATTACAAAATAAATGTAGTCAGTTACAGTTACTGAGAAAACTATGAGATTAAATTACAATTACTAATCATAAGGTTGGTCATTACATCTGAATATTCTTTTGGGCAAAACATTGCATTCACTCTGCTGCTTTGCATCTTTTTGACATCATTTGGCAAATTTCCAGACAACGTGGGTCAGCAAGCCTGTTGGGAACAAATTTAAATGCAACACTATTAAGGAGCTGTCTCTATGTCTAGACGGGCTCTGTCCTTTTGGCAGCATGCAATAAATTTTGAATGTTGCTTTCGATTGGTTCTCTCATTTGACTGAGCCGCCTCTCGTCTGTCAATCAATTCATCACACCTGGCTCTAAGCAACCTGAGGCTGTCATACCTGGCAGCGACCACAGACAACACAGAGGCAGGTGGTCATGTCGTCTGACAGAAATGATTCTCGGTGCTAGAAATGAGAAAAGGGTGGGCTACATGTTTCAACAGTAATAGATTATGTAATTGAATTTGTGTTGAAGAACATTTGGCAATAGTAAGAGTCATGTACAATTGTGAGCTTTACACTGGCTGGTTTAAATTTATGTTAGGACTTTTCAACTTTACCGCCCGGTTTGAAGCATTTTTTTAGAAACACAATCAGAAAGTAATTAAAAGTAATAAGTTATATTATTTTGGTGAAGTAATTACAATAGTTACATGACTTATTACATTTGTCTCAGGTTAATGGGTCATCTGTAATCTGTTAGACTTTGAAAGTAACCTTCCAAAGACCTGTGATTCATGCTTGAGCTTATCTATATTGTGATGTGCTGGCTGAGATTTAGTGCAAGATTTATTCTTCCTGATTTTGTAAGTATGTAGGCCAGGTGATGTAATCCTACCCAAATAGGCAACCAACAAAATACCAGCATCACGTGTGACTCAGAACCACGGCTGCCTTTTGAGTTTGACTCACTGTTACAAAGACCTGCTGCACAAGAGCATCTTTTGTTTGTAATTATTAACAGTACTGTATGTTGTGTTTTATAAGCTCACAGTATGTTATTATGTAAAATATTATTATCTAGCTGTGAAATAAATGAGCCCAAATAAAGGTAGAACATATCCGTCTGAAATGTAGTGAGGCAGAAGTGTAAAGAAGTTTTAAATGCTCAAGAAAAGTACATTGTCAATCTTTCTTAAGTTGATCCTCTGTAAATGTACTTAGTGGCATTCTACTACTGCCTGTAAGTGAGCTCAAATGGGAGGCAATGTTGTATATGATACATTTAATCTTGCTGATTAGTTTGCTCTTTTGAGTAAGCTGGTAAATTTTACATGACAGTCACAGCAGGGAGGCTTACAGTTTACATTTCACTGGAACGTCAGCGTCATACTATGTAACACTGCCACCAAGTGGTAACGCGGGGAAGTGCGGCAGTAGGTGTTGGAGGAGGACGACTGTGCAGCTTTGTCTTCCAGTGTAAAGAATGCTCCCTCTCTGTCTGGCAGGTCTGTTGGGTATGGTGGCTCACATGATGTTCACCACAGCCTTCCAGCTGACTGTCAGCCTGGGTCCAGAGGACTGGAAACCTCAAACATGGGACTATAGCTGGTCATACATGTGAGTTCACTTACAGCAGCCTGCAGAAGACTCTGTAGTGCCAGTGAATGTCAGAACCTTATCTTTATATCCTTAGTGTTTATCAGATGAGCAGTGTACAAAAATAATTTTAATTACTTTAATTCATTTAGACAAGTCAAGGGGGAGTTTATTTGGTATACTGAGATTTGTTCCAGAACAGTTGGATGATTTCAGATGATATGTTCAGATTACAGTGTCCAACCAACAGTCCAGCCCCCAAAGATATTTAGGTTTGTAATCAAAGAAAGTTAAACAAACAAATAATCATCTTTCATAAAATGAAACCATTTTCAACCATTTTTTTTTACTTAAAAACACATCTCAGAATGATTAATCAGTTAGTAGTGTCATTAATATTAGGTGCCAACACTTTTTTACATCAACTTGTTGCAAATGTACATTTTTTGGAGCACCTTAGTTTGTGTAAGATTAACTTAATATGCATGCACATCGCAATACAAATAATATAAAGTGATCCACAGAAGTGTCTCATTCACAAAAATTTAGTTTATTCATATTTTGCAAGGACTAAAGTTCTGTATGCATAATGTTAATTGTCCAAAAGTATGTGGACACCTAAACATTACAGCTGTATGAAATTGTGTGATTGTTCAAAACAGTTTTGGTGCCAATATTAACCCTCAATGTTCTGGGGATGCTGGAACCTGGCTGCAGGAATTTTGCTCCGGTGCAGTTTTTCCACACCAAACTGGGAAAGTAATGTTTTCATACAGAGCTGAAAAAACTTAGAAAAAACAACTGGACTAGGTTTTTAGGTCGAAGACGTTTCACCTCTCATCCAAGAGGCTTCATCAGTTTTCATACGGACCTTGTCTTGTGTATGAGAACAATGCAAACTGCTGCCAAAAGATGAAAGAACACTGCTGACTAAAATGTCACTGTATACGAATGTGTTGATTTAATTTCATCTTGGTGTATTAGAGCACCGAGTGTTGGTGTATAAGAACAGAATTTAATATGGAAGGTCATCATAAAGCAGGAATATCATTTTTTTTAGGTTGATCACAAAAAGTTTAGTTTTCCTGTCACATAATAACTATCATGATAAAAAATGGTTTTGACAGCTTGTTATGCTACAAGCTAATTGTTATGCCAAGATACTGACATAATAAGATAACCTGTTTTCAGTAATGAATATTTGGAAGCATTTTATGCCAAGGTCATGGAATAACTTCATTGACAATTTAATGTAAAAATAAATTCATACATCTTTCTTGTTCTTCCACCTCTCAGATGACAGTTTTTAATATTATCTAGTTTCTATTTTCAGCCCATTTGGAGGGAGATTTATTTCCTCTATAAAATGAAGATCCAGGCTAAAATTTTTTATATTATCAGCTGATATATCTGAATGAATAATGGCCAAGTTTTCAAACAGTTTCTACCTATTTCCTATAGTCTGGCATGGAGTTCCTTCACAGCCTGCATGGCATCCTCAGTCACCACCATCAACCGCTATACCAAAACCATCCTGGAGTTTAAGCACAAGCGTAGGAACATTGAGAAGAACCTGAAGATCAAGCAGAAGCTGTTGGAGCTGGACTCTCCGGACCAGGTGTGGGACATGTACATCAGCTCGGTGCCTAGCACTGCAGAGGAGCTCCTGGATCTGTCGTCCGGCGACCGCAAACTCTCCAACACCTCCATCTTCCTGGACCTCAACGACCTACCTGACGCACAGGGAGAGGAGTACTGCTAGTTGAGCAGCACGTAGCATTTTCATACATCAACAGTTCATAGTCATGTTCAGTGTGATACACTGGTGTAATTACTGCAAACAAAGTAAGGCCACACTTGGGAGCACTGGTGATTCTTAAAGCTACTGTGCATATCATTCATACATTTGACAAATTAGGATCTTACGTAATTGATATGACTAATCTGTTAGCAAACAGTTGCTTTTTAAACATAAAACATTTTGACAAACCTTGTTCAAAGCCACAGAAGTTTATTTTAAAGGTGCATTAAACAGATTTTTCCAAGCTTTGCCCACATGTACAAACAAGTAACACTGGTTTCTGTGCAACAGGCTGAGACCAGTGTGCAGGGGCTGTCCACAAAGTGCAACACCGAAAATATTAAATAACCTAAATAACTCTTATGTAGTGTAGTAGGCCTACAGTCAAATTCAGTTCAGCCATCAGCAGCCTCTTGTTGGTACTATTAAGACACTACATTTTTTGCATAATTTTGGGGAATTGTTATTACGAAAAGTATTCAGTAACTTCACTCCTACACTGTAGATTCATCACAGTCACATTACTTTCAGTCTATCTTAATTTTTGTTGTCTTTTTTTACTGGTTTTACCTCGCTAGGTTACAACAGTAATTAGCTAAGGAGCAACAAGTTAGCACCTGGTTACAACAGTAGCTAGCAACATGTGGAGCAGCAGTAGCTGCATGACAACTGCTGAGAACTGTCCTGTTGTTATGGGCCAATAAAGAGTGATAAGGAAAAATGCAGCACAAACAGAAAGTGCCAACATTCAGCAAAGTTACAGCATTTTTACCCCAAAAAGGATAAAAAGATCATCATTATTTAGATTTACAGCATGATGGGACCTTTTAAGATGTGAGCTAAAGTAGAAATGAAGCTGAAATAACATTGCTGAGCCCATCACATTGGCTCTACAGTTGGCAGTGTTAGTAGGTGTTAACTTATAGTGTTAATGCACATCTAATGCAGATGTACAGTATAATTACTGTACATCTGTCCAAGTAATGCTGTTGTGAAGGGTCACTGCTTAAATCTTCATTCATTCATATACTGTATATGTATATATGTGCATTGCTGGACAGCCCAGTGATAAGGAGTTCACACTGATTGGTACACTGATGACAAGCTGCCTCCCACATGTGGACTAAATTGCATTAGGTAGCATAAAACACATTTGGACAGCTGTTATTCCATGTACTACTATAGAATTCAATGTTTTTGTGTCTCACTATAGAAGAAGAGTTTTCACTGAACTCAGATGAGGCATTGTAGCAACGAAGGGTGAAGGTGATGATTGCTGCTTCACCCACAGAGGGATAAAAGATGATGTTAATGCACAGGATGATGGTTACATGGATGGAAGATGCCTATCGGCCACGCTGAGTGCCTTTACTTACAGTAGCATGCTCTGCGCTCACAACATTTTAACAGGGGTGATGCTGTTTCTCTCCAGCTAATAACCACTTTAAAGGAAACATGCAGCTGTCTGTGCAAACTGCCAAAAGTCACCAGTGAGAGGAGCATGCCTCTTCTGAAGCTCTGTTAATGTTTACTTGATAATGGGGTACTTTTGTTAAGTAGTCACAGAACTGTACTGGTAGAAAGACTCAGAGTACGATTGTTGCTATTCACAGTACTTTTAAGTGCATTTGAAAATGTATATTTGTGTACGTTATTTATACGTTCAAAATGAAATGTAGTGTAGACAAGTTTAGCATTTATTTGTTTTTGTTTTTTATCACCCTGGGTTGCAGTGAAGCATGATTTGTTGTGTCTTTATGTGTATGACTTATTTACAGTGGCACTTTTTTGTGTAGTGTTGTTTAGTTACTTTTGTGAATAATTATTTGCAACATAATATGTGAATATAAAAACATTTCTATGAGGAGATATCATTTAAAGCTGAATGAGACAAAATAAAGAAGCAACTTGTTTTTACGGTTCTCTCCTGAGTTTCATTTGTTGTACACAAGATGGCGGTGTAGTCTTACTGACAGTTGCAGTGATGTCTCGTTGTTTCTCATTCAACAAAATACAGAAAGTCTTATGTTACAGATTTAATTTTTAATTGAAATGTATCATTTTGAAAATAGAATCACCCACAAAAATGAAAAGTATAACCAAACTCTGAGATTTTATTATTAAATTAATGTAATTATTCACATTATTACAGTGACACTCTTTGCATCTTATCAGCAAAGCAGATGCTGTAGCTCCAACATCTCTGTTGCAAATAGATGTACCTTTGCAAAGCTATTGTACTAATGCTGTCTGCACTCGCATTCAACATAAATCCAAACCTTACTTCTTAAAGCTCTATAAGACTTTCATCAGAATGTTTTTAGTAAATAATGCAGAAAAAGAAAAAAATATGACAAACATCAGCGCAAAAATCAATTGTAAGCCCTTTACTTTAAAATAGTTTTATTTTTATGCTTTCAAACTAGTGCAAATACATGCAAACTGAAAACAGACCACCCTGTAAGCAGGCCCTCACAGCAACACAGTAAAGCCTGAAAGATTCATACATCACATCCAGAGAACTGGCCGTTGACAGGTCTCTCGCTGATTTGACCCAATCTTGTTTTTTACTTCACTCAAGGTATAGCAGGGTGGTTTTGCAGTTGGAATG